GTCTCACGTAGTCGGAAAGTTTGCAGAAGTAGAGTGAAGAGCGGCGGACTGGCTTTGACAAGCTTGGCCTTGGTCTGATTGTTGACAGTCGCGCGCAAAAGCTCAAGCTGCTCAAGTGACGCATCGAAGCCTTGAGAAGCGGCATGTGGCCACGTTGACTTGATAGCAGCGAACACTTCCTGAGCACCGAGATGCTCAGATACACTCTGGAAGAAACTGCTGCGGCTTTCGTCGCAGGACTGTTCCAGATCGGCAGCAGCAGAGCGTTGGCATAGTCGAAGAGCGGTGTCCAAGTAGTCGCGCGAGAACATGTAGCCCAAGCGCTCGACAATGTTCGAAAGCACGGTAAACACAGCGTTGTGAAGACCAGTCTTTTCCTCTTCGATCGCATCCGATAGATATTGGAATGCTGTTGGCAACACGGTAGGGAGGAGCGAGATGGCCTCATCTTCGAGAACGTCAACGACAGATGTGAGGCAGAGGAGGGAGAGGATGCGAAGGCGATCATCGCTACTGGAAAGCGATTGGGGACCGGACACAACTTGAGCTACTGATACAACAGCAGATACGTCCTTCTTCCCGAAGCGGTCGACGATGCGATCAATGCAGCTGACAGAGACCATCTTGGCATCCATGTCAGGTGATTGTTCCAGTAGATCCTGAACGCTAGGCAAGAAAGAGATCAGGGCCTCTACAGATTTGCGGTCGTTCTGCTTGGCGGTGCCCGCGCGCAGCTCAACCGACTTGACGGCAGCTACCTGGACGTGAGAGTCTGTGCTCGCAAGAAGTAGCTGTGCTGATTTGATAAGGTCGGTCGTTGGCAGGAGGTCTAGGCAGCTGGCGAGAACACGACTACATCCGGCGTAGGTCTTGGGGTTTGTTGCAAGCTTCTTTGACAGTTGAATAGTAGTCTCGACGATGTTTGCAAAGATCTTGCGTGGTCGTTCAGGGTCATCCTTCTTTCTGTACGCTCGAGTAACGTGTGCCTTCACCTTATCGTCAAGTGCGAGATCTGTCAAACAAGACAGCATACTCTGAATTGACAGGTCGAATTTGTTGTCTTTTGTCTTTTCCTTGAGGCTGAAAAGTGTTTCCGCGACCTGGGGTTTCGGTCCCACGGCATCAGTGAGGAGATCAACATATCCCTTGAAGGTGACGAGGGTGTGGACAGGTTCGAAGTGAAGTAGCAAATCCGCACAGAACCTTCGTTGCTCCTTGCTGTGGTAGCGATCGGCAAGAAGTGCCACGATAGCCGGGAGCGAATCCTCGGGACCTAGCGTACGAGCAAGCTCTGTGAATAGCTTCATCCTTCTGTGCAGGGGAATGTGTTCAAAGGCGGCAGTGAAACTGAGCAGCAAGTCAGACACGCCAGCGATGAAGTCTCTGTGTTTTGAGCGGAGAGAGGCAGCCAATTGAGGCACGACCCGAGAAATAGTCTTATCAACGACCTGAGCGGAATAGTCGTCATGCTGGCGAAGCAGAGTAGATCCGATGAAGGTGAAGATAGGCATGAGATTGTGAAGAATGAGATCAGGAACCCATGAGGCAAGATTGGAAATGAGAAGTAGCGCGCTGTTTTGAACCTGTGGGCTGCTGGAGTGTCGAATGCAGTCGATGAGTAGGTCCGCTCGTACTGCCGATTGGTAGTCGGCGGTGTCGGCTTGCTCTTTCAATGTGTTTACGATCGGGCTTAGTGATCCCAGAATAATACTCTGAAGATACACTAGCTCGGACCCAGACTGTTGCTTGAGTGGCTGTAGTTCTGCAAAGATGCCGAAAAGGTTCTTGAACAGTGTTGGGTGCTGTCCAGGGTTTGACCCTTCAACCAACTCAAGTACCAACGTGAGCTTTCGGAGCAGTCGCTGAACATCGTCTTGTGATGAAAGCTCTACTCGAGCCATCTCACTCTTGCTTGTCCTTCGCCTTTTCGCTGAAGGCGGTCCTTCGGGCATGGCGGTAGGAGATGGAATGCTTTCCAAGAAGGTAACCAGAATGGCGGAATCAAGGTCAACGTTGCGCAAAATCTCAATGGATCGCTCTCTACGAAGCTTATCGAAAGAGTTGTCACTTTCACTGGTAGATAGGCTGAGCATGCACTGAGCCAACGCGTGACGAGCTTCAGATCTGAAGGACGACCATGAGGTTTGCATACGATAAAAGGCGGCCATCACTAAAGCTTCACGCTCCGTGTTGAGGGTTCCAGAGATGATGTCCTCGAGCAGTTTCGCGCTTATCGCCTCCCTGGGCATAGTTGCGGCAATGTGAGCCCGCTCCACTTCATCAAGCGAGAGCCCTTCGCTTTCGCAAATGGTGTTCACGGAAGCTGTCGGTAAGGTTGCCCATTCGGTCAACAAGGGGATCACGGAGTTGGTACGAACGGAGTCGGAGACCTTTCCGCGGATGTTTAGCATCGGCAATAGGCCGAGGCGGACACTCAATACCGGTGTAAACCTCGCGTGGCTGGCGAAAAATGCAAGGATTGAAGTCCTCGTCTGCATCTTGAACGTATTCTTCGGATGGTTCTTCAGCTGTGTCCCTTCCAGGACATCGCGAATAGCGGGAATGGCAAACTTTGAGTCCATGACGCATTCTTCGAGAATCGGCTGTAGCATCGAGGAAACAAACACGAGGACATCTTCAGGCTTGAGTTCTGCAAGATTCTTCGACTCTTTCCCATACAGATCGGCCTTGCCCCAAGTTGGGGTTTTCGACTTGGCGGAAGCCTTTCGTGCCAGAGAGCCAACGCATGCAGCCGCTGAACGTCGGATAAGTGGCGATGCATCTGAAAGGGCGTGTACGAGGTATGGCAGGATGTTCTGCAAGACGTGTGCAGCCTCGAGCTTTTCGAACGATGATGCGGCTGCACGGAGGGCGGCAACGCGAATGGCGACAGGCCGAGCGCTACTCCAGACGCGAGCGAGAAACGATAGGTAGAGTGGCTGCTTGAGAGCAGATTCTTGGTGCAATGCGTCCGAGGCGAGGAATCGCCGTGTTTGCTTAGTCGTCACAGCCTGCTCGAAAACGTTGGCCGCTTCTGAAAATTCGGTGGCTGATTCGGCGTCGAGGAAGCTCTTTACAGTGATCTCTGGGAGCTTTATGACAGGCTTCTCGGGTGTGTCCTCGTCCGCATCAAGCATCTCCTCGTCAGAGTCCTCGCCCGGAATATCTTCGATTTCGAAGGTTTGGCCAACGGTAAGTCCCAAAGACTCCAGATTGACATTGTGCTGCTTCGCCGCTTCTTGTAACGTTGCTTGTAGGTCTTTTGATTCAGCCATCTTAGTAGCGACTTGTAGCAGTTCTCCGTGCTCTTCGGAGCCCGGTGGAATGTCGCGGAGGAGTTGGACCAATGCCGATAGCACCATCTGAATGTGCGATGTGCCGAGGAGACCTGAGGCGATTAGCTCATAGAAAGCCCTGCAATTCTCGTCGGAAGTATCGCTGAGTGCGCCAAGGGCACAGCCTAGAACAAGTCGTTGAACCTGGCATTGTTTTGACACTGTCGTCAACTTCTGCACAAGCTGAGGAACCTTGAGTAATCTCCTCGATACTTTGGCTGGAACCTGCGCTTTGGAGCGCTCCATGGCGATGATGGCCAGACAGCCGAGGCATGATTGAAGGGAAGCTTCGTCGTATGCTACGATGACAGCCTCCATCAGCCCATCCAGAACCTTGTCGCCGACCTTTGCCTGGCTCACCATCATGATGACAATGGCGTAGCAAGCCAGAACCGTGTCAGCGCCGTGCTTGGCTCGCATGCAAGTATTGAGAACCGGGAGCAGTTCCAGGACCAGCTTTTCGGTTCCCTGGGCCTGAAGATCCTTCCTTCCAGTGCTTGCATTGCTCACTATTCCATATATAGCTTCAACCGTGATTCCCGACCAGAAGGACAGCATGTGCGAGGCCTGGTGCCCCGCCTCTACCACCTTCGCGACGTATGATTGGTATGCCTTGAAGAATTGTGGGGTATTGATGGCGGTGTAGGCGATGGTTCGCTGCGGTACGTTGGTCGGGGCCTGGATGTACGGGAAGAGGAATCGGATGGCGTGCGGTGGTTGTGGGGGTAGAATAGAGAGCAGCGCAAGGAACTGTGGGGTGTTGTGGTAGGGCAGGTAAGTAAAGACGAGGGTTTCGGTGTTGTACTCGTGGATGCGGAATCTTCGCACCAGCCACTCGAGAGCCTTCTCCGCCGGCTTCAACAGCAGTCTTGGTCCAACCAGCGTGATGAATGCCTCGAGCACGGTGTTCAGCTTGGCGTTCTCATCCTTCGTCATCTGGGTGCGGTCCTCGGCCTTGCTCTGCTCGCTGAAGAGATTCTTGGAGAAGCGCAGGAACCGCGAGTCCAATGCGCAGAGGTCCTTGTAGCCATCGTAGCAGATGAGGTAGACGGTCTCGAAGGATTGCGACGCGGCGACTTTGGAATCGAAGAGGAGCGATTTTCCATGCGCCGACTTCTGCGCGCGCAGGTCTAGCTGATGGGTGCTCGAAGCCGCGATGGTCGCGAGCTGTTTCTGGAGCGCCGTCGCCATTTTCGGAAGTTTTCGTTATTACGACAGGCTCTAGGGTATGATTCGGGTAATGCGATGAGCCATGAGACGCAGCGGAACAGCGTAGAGTTTGTCGTGGCGGATTGGTTGAAAGCTTGAAGCTGGCGATGCGCATACAAAATTTCGGGAAGCCAAGATTTCACGCTAATGGTTTTTACGGCGGGCCGCTCGAGCCAGACACGCCGCCGGACTCCCGAGCACGTGCCATGCGCCTTTCATCTCTCCAAACGTCTTACCTCTGGTCTTCCATCCTTTTTGTCTTCACAGTAGAAGACATACGCCTGCCAGCCCTGTTTCTGTGAGGAGCATGTCTGAATCCTCAATGCGAAATCTGTCTTTTGACTCATGACTACGCGCGTCGCGTAGATTCCTGTACTGGAAGCTGCGACCACAACTATGATGCTGGTCTGAAGCTCCATCCACAAATAGAGGATTGCTGGAGTTGCACCTTGCGCAATGGCGTCGAACATCCCCAAGTTTGCGAGCTTCCGGCCAAAGCCCAAGGCCGCCACAGAGCCACCCAAGGAACCCCAACACCATGAGAAAGCAGAACGACCGTCAAGAGAAAAGCACTCTACCAAGGGGAGATCACCATCGCCAAAGCGAGTTATTCGCGAGCACGATTCAAGCAAAGACAGGCCCTACTTCAGCGACCGACGCGGAGATCCTGACGTACTGCGGTATGGATCTATGAACCGTTACGACATCCCACCCTATCGTCGCTTCGGTCATGGCTTCATACTCGGACTCTCTGTAAACCAAAAGATCGATAGAGAGTACTCAACGGATCGGAAAATACTCGTTACGCCAGCGACACGAAGACGGCAAGAGCGACTGCTGACGAGCAAGCGTGCGAACAAGTCGGGTGAGCGCGCTTTGCGGCTGCTGAAGGCCGAGGTCCCCGATGTGGACCACTCTCAGGACTTTCTGTCATTATCTGCAAATACCAAGAGGAAGCGCGATGACAGTGAGGATGAAGACGCCGAGATGGAGCCTGAGGCAGACTACCGCGCCATCGAAGGGCCAAAGTCCAGCGAGCCTGTGGATCCAGACACGCAATATGAGTCGGACACTGATATTATAATCGACACTGAAGTCACTCGCAAGAACTCGCAGCTCGCGCGACAGACGAAACAGCATCCTGAAGATCTCCAGAGCTGGTTGGACTTGATCAGTCACCAAGAAGCCATGCTAAAGCTCGAAAGACCATCTGCTGAGCTGACTGCATCTGATAGAGCACATCTTGCTGATATACGTATCTCTACATATGAGGAAGCCTTGAAAAAGATTGGCGCAGATCAAGACAGCAGGCTAGAGCTGTACAAAGGACTGCTGGAAGAAGCAGAAAGGGCCTGGGACGGCGCCAGACTGGCCAGCAAATGGAAGGACGTGCTTGCGAAGCATCCTCAGAGTGTAGAGCTGTGGATGAGGTATCTTGACTTTGTGCAATCACGATTCACAAGTTTCAAGTTTGAGGAGTGCCGGGCGACCTTCTTCAAATGCATCGAGTCTCTTCGTACAAACAAAAGCGAAATGTCACCGGAACAGACCTTGCACATATTGCTTCGTTTGACATCCATGACACACGATGCAGGATACCAGGAACTCGCTCTCGCAGTGTGGCAAGCTTTACTCGAACATCATTTGCTACGACCAGAAGTAGACGCAGACCAACAGGCTTTCGAACAGTTCTGGGAAAGCGAAGTAGCACGTATCGGCGAGTCCGGAGCAAAGGGATGGAGGAGCAGCAACATAGATGATGCGCCACCCCCAGGACCTTCATCACTGCTCGAGAAAGAAGCAGTGGACACAGTCTTTGAAGATTTCCGAAAGCGCGAAGTGGAGGCTACGTCGGTGTTACGACTCCCTGGTCGCACGTCGGACGATGTAGCAGAGGATGATGCATTTCACACAATCTTCTTCTCTGATGTCGAGCCATACCTGACCATCATATCGCCCGATATACCGGCAACGCTGATGATTGAGGCTTTCTTGTGTTTCTGCGGCTTGCCAGATCTACCACATCGCATACCACAACAACGTTCATGGTCGTCTGATCCGTTCTTGCAGCGCTACTGGCACTCTGTGTCTCCAGACACCGACGATTCTACGGAACTCGCTAAAGCCACCAAACGCTTTTCAGATTACTCAGCAAAGCACTTCGAGATGACTACAGAACTCTTGTTCGAGCAAAGCTTCTCACTAGATGGCATCAGGCTTGATGCAGACTTCGTCAGGCGCTTGCTCAAGCTTCTAGCCTCAGATCCTTCGAGCGATGATATCATAGGAGAGTATCTGCTAGCTTTCGAATCGAGACACTTCCCGTCTGAGGCTTTCAAGTCCGCGAAGCGATTACTCAAAGCACGTCCGTCAAGCCTGCGCTTATACAACGCCTATGGGTTAGTCGAATCGCGTCTAGGTAACTCAGCCAAAGCAGATCAAGTCTTCAGCATGGCGCTATCTATGCAAAAGGGGGTTAGCGTGCTATCGGCACCTTGGAGTTTGGAACTGTTCAGCAATTGGGTGTGGGAAGCGCTCCGAAGAGGCGAACACAGCGAAGCTCTATGGCGGCTTGTCTCACCAAAGGGAAACCTCTCAGCCGGCGCAGCCAAAGACTCGCATCCTGGTAACACTCTCCTAGAGATGGGACATCTAACCCTCAGCGAAAAGAGCGAACACGCCCTCCTCCACCACGACTACACCACAGCAATAACAAGCACCTCCCTCCTCGCCCTCCTAACCTATCTCACCCACAACAACTCCGCCTCACACGCCCTCGAACTCCACGCCAACCTTACCTCATGGTTCACATCGCACCACCTCTCCATCTCCGCCGTCGCAGAACTGCACGCGCAATCCATCGCCAGCCTCCTGATCCACCACACCATTCACGCCCCCATCGTCAAACCCTCTCTCATCCGCACGACTCTCGAACCCCTCATATCCCGCTTCCCAACCAACACGATCCTCCTCGCTCTCTACGCCGCCAACGAAGCCCGTTTCTCCATCGACGATCGCGTGCGCGGTATCATGCACGAGAACGCCTTGCAAAGCCCCGAAGAAAGGAGTATAGCGGGCTGGGCATTCGCAATACACTACGAAACTCTCAAGGGAGAAATCGCAGGCTCGACAACGCATTCCATTCGTGCATTGTACAAGCGCGCAACGGAGTCTACCACTGGATCCCGGTGTCCCGCGCTGTGGAAAGCGTATGTGGAGTTTGAGATAAGGTGTCTACGTGATGAGTCGGCGAGACAGCGGGCGAATAAGAGACCGCGTAGGGATGGCAAGAAGAGTAGATGGGAGGTACGCGTTGAGGAGGCGGAGCAACGGGTCAAGGATACGTTTTACGCTGGGTTGAGGAATTTGCCTTGGTGTAAGGAATACATCATGCTTGCTTTTACGGAAGCGAGGGATGTGTTTGGGGAGGAGGATAAGGGGAGGTTGTATAGGGTTATGTTGGAGAAGGAATTGAGGCTTTATGTTGAGTTGGATGACGGGGATATGTAGATGGGATGACCGATGCAGTGGATTGGATAGTCAGATGTATTAGCATAAGCAGGTAATGGCCCTCTTGTACAGAGAAGCTTTTTCGAAGAAGATATATGACCATGCACATTAATCGCCTGTATCTATCCTACTAGCGAGCCTCATAGAGAAGATTGAACGGAAGTCTAGAAGATGTCTTCCGCGCCGGCATCCTGCCATGTCGTCTCTCCCTTGGCGACACGGTCTCGCACCTTCCAGTACTCATGGTTGAACACCCAGTACTCCTCGCCAGTAGTCTCGCACCTGCCCTTGTGGAACCACCTGGGTACAAACTCTTTGCCTTCAGCCTCTCGCTGTCTGCGGGTCGCTCTCTGCTTCTCTTCGACCCTGTTCTTTTCCACGGCCGCAAAGTCGTACTCGCCGTCCTCCATAGCGCGCTGGTCGGGACGGAGACGCGTGTCCGTTGGTGCGACGACCGGGCGAAGCTTGTCGGGAATATCGTTGAGAGTTACCACGAAGGGGGTAAGGTTGAAGGGAATGCCCGTAGGACGCTCGTGAGCTTGCCAGACCAGGAAAGCCTTATTGTCGTCGTGCTTTGAACTCTTCCCACTCTTCTCAACGTCTGCATCTTCAAAACCCGGCGTAAAGCGCGCGTAGATCTTGTCGTTCCATCGTCCACCGATACTCCAGCGGACCCGGTTCTCTTTATCGAAAACCTTACCAACCACTTGGTAAGCTGACGAAGCCTTCCAACCACGAGGCTTGAACTCGATCAGACATTTCTCGCCCGTCGTCCAGTTGGTGATTTCCATAGTACCGTAATTGTCGACAACGGGATTACCAGTTATAATGCCGATTACCGAGGAGGTGACTTTCTTCCAGGTGTAGAGCTCTTCTTTCCCACCGTTGACGGTAGGGCGAAGACGAAGGAACCAAGTTCCGAGAGGGTTAATGTCGAAAGATTTTCCATAGAACTTCGACTTCACAGCAGATTCACCCTGGACATTGTTAGAGATGGTAAAGAGAACATACTTCCAGTACTTACGTAGTAGTCCCACTTCTTGGATTCCGCATAGGCGGCACCAATCGGTGGGTGATGGCTGACCTGCTCGATGAAGAAACGGTAGCCCTTGTCTGGTCGTGCATACTCGTAGGTCTCGGCGAGAAGTGGATTAAAAGGTTTAGCGACGCGTCCAATGGTCGAAGCATACTCTGACGCAGCAAAGGCAGCCACGTAAAGTAGTCGCTCGGTAGAGTCGTCGCGTTCGGCAGCGGTGTCAAGGAGATCCGTGTACTCCATGTCTTCAGCGACACGTTGAAGCAGTGAAGTGGGCTCGTTGAAAGAGACAGGGAGTGTCATCTTGGTCATGTCTTTACCAATCATGGACTTGAGGATACCCTGAACGATGTTAGCATCTGCACAACTAGTTGCGCCATCAAACTTACCCATAGCGATATCTTAGGCCTGTCGTCGGCATCCATTGCGAGCCTCTTACGCGGACCGTCTTCGTAGCCTGCCCATGCTGTGGCAATCTCCATGTGCTTCCTCTCGAACGGGTCGTCTGAAGAGGCCGGAATGTCCACTTGCGTGGGCTCCTTGGGTGCAGCTGCAGGCATTTCAACAACCTCGACCTCTCCAGCACCAACAGCATCGAAGAACTCCTCATCATCTTCCGAATCGGAGTCTGAGATATCGGCAGCAATGTCTGCAAATGTAGCCTTCCTCCTAACCTTTTGGCTCTTAGCAGGAAGTCCCACATGCGATGTCATATCCTTCTGCTGCTGGGCATCTTCTGGCGCGTCGGCGAAGTCGTCCTCATCGTCCTTGGCATCCGGCTTTGGGCCAGTCGTCTCGTAATCTTCCAAGGCTTCCCGCAGAGCTTTCTTCTGCTTCCGTCGCTTTTCCTCAGACTCGCCTATCCGGTTCTCGAGCTCTTCCTGCTCTTTTGCCACCTTGGCCATGCTCTCCTCCCACATGCGCCTCACATTGGCCTCGCGGTCTAGGCGGTACTGCCAGTAGGCATCACGATCTCTGGATATGCGAAGCAGATCACCGATTAGCCCCTTCAGGTTCCCGATAGCGGATTCGTACGAAGCAAATGCTTGTAGCATCATTGGGTCGGAAATCTTCAGGTCGGGTGTTCGGCTCCTCTCTGTCTGGAGTGCCGACGACACGGATGTCAGGAGATCGAGTTGTAGCTTAGCCGATTGCGCTGTGATGTTAAATGCGTCTTTGCTTTGGGGCTTCATCTCATGGCTGCTCGTATCGTCGCCGTAGTCGTCTTCGTCTTCGTCGTCGCCAGCTATGGTCGCGGTACCCATGTGGCTGACCATTCTGTCCAGACCTTGGCCGTTCATGCTAGGCTCGTAGGCACTTCCAGGGTCTTCTGTCACGCTGACCGCAGTTCGTGAGGATGTGTTGTCCAGACTTGGGTGAGGGACGCCGAGAGTGGATGCTAGACGTGTTAGTGTGTCATACATGGTCGGAAGTTGGTGACACTTACCAGCAGTCAAGTTTCGCGAACTTGGTGCTACCTTGGAGCTGCCAATACTGGACGTGTCGCCTTCGCCCTTGATCTGCTCAATCTTGGCTTGCTTCAGCATCTCCTGGTCCTGGTTCGCCCGCTTCTCTTCTTCGCGGGCCTCGTCCTTGGCCCACTGGATTGAGTTGTTCAGAGCCCAGTACCATCGCTTAGCCTCAACCTGGTGGTTTGCCTTGAGGTGGTACTTGACCGACGACTTGCCCTGGATTTCAAATCGCTGCTTGTCTTGGGGATCCATGTACAGCTTCGCTATGCGCATGTTGATGGCGCCGCGGCATGCAGACCCGATATCGTCTTGGTGCTTGTAGTAGCTGAGAACGCCGTCCTCAAGCACGAACCACCGCAACTTATATCCGGTTGTGTAGTTAGTCCATTTCTTGAGGTAGCCCTTCATCTCACGCGACTCTCTTGCGCCCATTCCGCTCTCTGTCGCGGTTTGGCCCGGGGGTCCACCTGCGAGTATGGTCTTTTCTTGAATGCCCCTCTGGGCTGCGGCTGCGGCGGGTGATCGCTTCAGGATGGCGCGCGTGCGGTCGTCTTTGGTGTAGTCTTGAGGAAGCTTGCCTTTGCGGTCGCGACGGAACGGGTCAGCTCCATTGAGCAGCAGAAGCTGGGCCAGCTTGATGTCCTTCTTCTTGGCTGCCTCGTGCAGCAGGGTACCGCCCGCATCCATTACGACCGGGTCAGTCGCCAGCTCTCCGCCGTTAACGTCCAGCGTACTCCTTATTCTAGCATCCTGGAGTATCTTCTCTAGTGAGTCCATATCCCCAGCGGAAACCATGTGCTGTATCTTTTTTACGTTGGTGTCGATAAAGATGGATCGCGAGAGCTGTAGCTGCTGGAAGATGTCCGGTGTGCGGGCGAGATCCAAGGGCGTCTGGCCGTTGTAGTTGGTAACGGAGTCGTTGATACCGGGCTGGTCGAGAAGCATTCGGACGACGGGTGCGCGACCCAGCGTCGCTGCGAGGTGGAGCGGGGTGTTGCCATCGCGGTCGCGGCCATTGATGTCGATGGGCGAGTCCGGTGTGGCTGTCGCATTGGACAGGACGAATTCGATGACGGGCACCTCGGCGCACTGGATGGCCAGGTGCAGGATGGACGTTCCTTCCGTGCGCGCGCTGGGCAGTTGCAGCGACGACCTGCCCTCTTCACCGTCTGTTGGCCCTGCCTGGTCCCTGATGGCTCTCGATATGGCTGCGGTGTCGCCATTGCGGAGCGACTCGAATACTCGGAACAGCTTCACCGACTGCTCTATCGAAGTTGACTTGCCCGTGGGCGAGCTGGGCGCTTGCTGGACGCTGGGCGAGACGGGGCTCAGGCTGTCTTGCCCGGCGCCTGTATTCGACATGCTGGTCGAGAGGTGTGGGTTGTGCTTCTTGGACAGACTGCGACTGTGTCCCGATGTTGTTGGTCTAGCTTGCGCGGGCTGCGAGCTGGCCGAGACGGCTGTGCTGGGCGGAGAAGTGTCGCTGCTGTCTGTGGTCGCGGCAGCTCCGTCGGGCTTGGAAGTGACACGCGACAGGAGGTTCTTGACGCTCGACGACTTGGAGCGCTTGTGCCTGCAATACGCTGTCAGACGTGCTTCTGGGCTATCACCGTCCTCCTCCACATGTCCCCCGCCATGACGCCAGCGGGCTTGGAGCACCTACCCTTCCATGCTTGTGTGATTGGCCAACGGGCCAAGGATATGCGGGCCTGTAGGCGGCGGGCAGAGGGAGGAGGGGTTCGGTTGGATGTGTGTCAGCACCGAGTCCTGTATTCTATAGATCGTGTGCAGCTGTTGCGACTTTGTAGGATTTCACCACTGACGCGGCGGGGCTTCGTGACAGTTTTGGGGGCTTTCGTCAGGGGCGCACCATCCAGGCCGCTGCTTCAGCGAATCACGACTATTGCTCCGCTAGGCTGGGCTACCGAGCGATTATCCCAACATCCTGCTCGGGCATATGTCATGGCGGATTCGCCTAGTGAATGCGTGCATTGGGCGAACTCCAGCTTGGTGAGCCTAAGCTTTGGCTCTGCCTAGGTACGGCACTACGTCCTGACACGTGCATTGGAAATGTTCATGTTGTACATTGTCTACATAGCATCTTCACGTGCTCAGGCTGAGTCGCCGCCCACGAGGATGATAGCACTACCAAGCTGCCTCCGTAGATCTTCCTTCTGGACATCGTGCGTGTCCTCTACCTCACCCCACTGCTTCGTCTGCCACGTAACCTCGAGACTCGACGCCTCGGTGGCTTCCTTGATGCCGAAGCGCGGCGCATCGGTCACCTTTCGCGATTGCGCAAATGCTTCGCCCCATTCGTGGATCAACCGCACGCTGACTAGCAGGCTCTTGGACGCCAGCACCGCGCGTTCCAGTCCAGCGAGTTCGTAGGCTGGGAGACCTGCACACCAACCCCGGATCACCTGCTTTGTCATCTCTGGCTGCTCGGTGGGGATGATGGTCTCGGGGTCGAGCGTGGGCTTGATCTCTAC